TGGTGCATGCCTGTAGTACCAGCTACTCATGAGGCTGAGGCAGGAGGATCGCTTGTGCCCAGGAGTTTGAGGTTGCAGAAAGCTATGATCACACCATTGCACTCCAGCCTAGGTGACCGAGTGAGACCATGTCTCAAAAAGAAAAAAAAAAAAGAAAAGAAAAGAAAAACTCTTTTTTTCTCTGTTCCGCAAATGATGGCATTTATGCCTGAATTCAAAGCTACCTCTTTCAGATTTATTAATTTCTCTGGATATCATGGATACATGAGGTATACATGTTATTAAACTTCTGTTAGTTTTCCTCTTGTTAATCTGTCTTTTGTTATAGGGGTCTGTCCTAAGAACTACAGTACTAAACCATTCTGTGCCTGAGTTTTCTAACATAAATTTGGAGAGAATACTACTACTCACATCATAGGGTTTTTGTGAAGATTAATACATGTAAAACATTTAGAAGAGCCCAGTAAGAGTTAGTTATTATTATTATTCCTTCCTCTCATAATTCTTTACTAGTGCGTCTTTCAGAGTTCTTAGTTCATTCTGCCTTACATGTATTTTATTTACTTATTTCTGTCTCTATCATAGAGGTAAGCTCTTTAAGGGATGTTTAGGGAACAACTGGTAAATGAATGAACAAATTAAAGACTTTTGCTCAGAGTATGTGGAATTTTTTGTGTGTGTGCCAAAATATCACATTGAAGGATTTTTTTCAAAACCACCAACCCTATGAAATGAGCTTTTATTTTACAATTTCAGGCAACTGTTTGATCTGAAGTGTAATGTTTGGATATCCCTGAAAGCTCCTATGGCACCAGGATCTTTACTATATAAATAATCTTTGGTATATTTGTTTTCTGGGTATAAGTCAGAGTAGTAACTTGATAGTTTGTCTTGGCTCCTAAAATTCATGCAGATGGTTTTTTCCTAACAAAAGTCCTAGGCTGGACAGTAAGTATTTTATTACTAGCAAGTTATGTGACCTTGTGCAAGTCACTTCTACTATCTTGGGTTCTATTTCCTCATTTTTCAAAGGAGGTGATTTCACTTCCTGTGCTGGATCATCTGTGTGGCTTCTCAATGCCATTCCCACTTCCTTCTCTGTCCTCTCCTGTATCATATGAGCTCCAACTGGGAAATTAAAGTCCTTATACCCCTTCACTAGGGGAGTGCCAGTCTGCCAATGAACCATGTGTCTACAGATGTGGAGGGTGAGGGAAAATAGAGATTATTATTGCTCCATCCCTGGTAGTCAGGTGAGTGGACTTCAGTGGGTTTTGGAAATAAGGTTTTTGCCACATGTTTTAGGTGTCCTCTGGCAAATCAAGTAATGCTGCAGGTAGCTGAGATCATAGGTAATTCCCATACATCTGGATTTCCTGAAAGCTAGCAGAAGTTTTCCTGCCCTTTCAAAAAATTTTTAAAATAAAAAGCTTGATTGAATTATAATTTACATATCATACAATTCGCCCATTTAAAGTATACAATTCAGTGTTTTTTTAGTATATTCAAGGTGTTGTGCCATCATCACCACAATGAATTTTAGGACATTTTTATCACCCCCAAAAGAAACTCTATACCCATTAGTGGTCACTCCCCATTTCCCCCCAACTCTGTCTATCCTTCCCTCTCTCCACAAAGCCTGAGGCAACCAGCAATCCACTTTCTATCCCTATGAATTTGTCTATTCTGAACATTTCATTTAATGGAATTATACAATATGTGGCCTGTTGTATCTGGCTTCTTTCACTTAGCATAATGTTTTCAAGGTCCTTCTACGTTGTAGCCTGTATTAGTACTTTCTCTGTTTCTACTACTGTCGCTCTGTATTGCCAAATAAAGTTCCATTATAAGGATGCACCACATTTTATTTCTCTACTCACGAGTTTATAGATATTTGGAGCATTTCCACATTTTGGCTATTAGAATACTGCTATCATAAATATCCATGAACAAGTTTTTGTGTGGATGTATGTTTTCATTTTTCTTTCATATATACCTAGGGGTGGAATTGTTGGATCACATGGTAATGCTATGTTTAAACTTCTGGGGAACTTCCAGACTGTTTTCCAAAGTGGTTGCACCATTTTACATTTCTACCAGCAGTTAGGCAGGTTCTGATTTCTCCTCATCCTTGCCAATACTTGTTGTTATCTGTCTTTTTTATTATCCTACTTGGTCTGAAGTGGTATCTCTTTGAGGTTTTGATTTGCATTTCCCTAATGGCTAATGATGTTGATCAAAAACATTGAAAAATGACCAGTTTTGGAGAGGATGTAGAGAAAGTGGAACCATCGTATTGCTGATAGGGATGTAAAATGGGGCAGCTACTGCGGAAACAACCTGGCAGTTCCACAAAAGTTTAAACATAGACTTATCACATGACCCAGCAATTTTGCTTCTAGGTATATAGCCAAGAGAAATGAGAACATACATCCACTCAAAAACTCATACATGAATATTTATAGCAGCATTATTCATAATAGTCAAAAGTGAAATCATTCCAAATATCCATCAGCTGTTGAACGGATAAACAAAATGTGGCACAGTATATTCTTATAGTGGAATATTATTCAGTAATAAGAGGAATGAGGTACTGGTACAAGCTACAGCATGGGTGAACCTTGAAATCATCATGCTAAGTGAGAGAATCAAATACAAAAGTGACATATTATATGATTCCATTTATACAAAATGTCTAGAACAGGCAAATCTATAGAGACAGTAGACTAGTGGCTGCTAGGGGTTAGGAAGAGGAGGGGAAAGAGATTGACTGTTAATGGGTGCAGGGTTTCTTTTCAGGGTGATGAAAATGTTCTGGAATTAGTTGAGTGTGGTGGCACAAAGCTGTAATCCCAACCACTCAGGAGGCTGAGGCAGGAGGATCGTTTGAGGCCTGGAGTTTGAGGCTGCTGTGATCTATGATCAAGGATGACAAGGGTGTGGCTGGGGTTGGATGAGCTGTCCAGAAGGAAATCTGTCTGATGAATAGGTTTTTGAGTCAGTTGCAAAGAAAGCAGAAGCAGACATCTGACTTTTGTGGTTAAGCCTGTGCTCAGTCTCAGAGTTCTGTGTGAAGGAGATAACGTGACCTTCATTTCCCCTGTGTCTGGTCAAAGAGGCTTTCTGATTAATGTTTGCAGGACACAGACAATAAACATAAGCAAGTGTCTGGCCTTGGCAATGAGGTTTTGGGTTGGGTCTTTTTGTCCAGTTATAGTAAGGCCTGTGATGGGGGAAGGCATTATTAAATCTTTGCCAAATGACATTTTGAAATTCCCTCATGTCTGGGTGCACAAGGCAAGACCCCTATGAAGAACAGTCAGGCAAGGCCAAGGGAGCACTCTGGTACCTACCTGTGTAACTAGCAGCATTTGGAAGCTTCCCTACCCCAGGCCCAAGGCTGCCCTTTTGAGATAAACCCTTTCTAGAGTCAGAGAGAGGCAAAGACAGTCATTGAAGTTCTGAGAGAAATAAACATTGATGATCGCAAGAACCCTAGACCTGGTATGGAAAACATTATTTTGGAGACTAACAGGCCTGGGTTTAAAGTCTAACACCACCTATCTACCGGCTGGGTCACGGTGAGTTATATACAATTCCTGGCTCTTGCGAAGTCAGTTTGACTCTGAAAATAACTGTCTGCCCTGAGTGTATAGTACCCAGGAGAAGGCGGAGAGAGAGAGAGAGAACAAAGTTGAGAACCTAGCGGTAGGGCCCAGGCCAGCCCTATAGCAGGGAAATTATGTCCTCCAAGCAAAGAGAAAATTGGAGCCTTGACCTGGGGGCTCAAAGTTAGGGCTCCACAGGCAGAACTGAGAGGGTCTGTAAACTCACCAAGGAAAATATTACACCCTTACTTTCACTAATCTCCAACTAAATTTGGGCTTTCTCTTCAGTTAAAAATGTAGGTAACAGCTTTGCTGTCTCTCATGCTTGGTCTGGGTGTCCTGTGCTGGGGGCTTGGCGTGGGCGTCAGGCAGGGAGCTGCCCCCCTGAGCCTAGTGAAGCGTCCAGGCAGTGTCCGAGGGTCCCTGACCGTGAACGTGTGGATGGCGGTGACGTGGCCTTGGCCACATTTTCTGAGTGACTTCAGGAGGGCTATAGGTGGCCCTTCAGCCTGCGTTCCCTTGCCTGGAAATGGGGGTATTCCATTTCTTAAATGGATTTGTGTTTATTGATCATTGACTGTATGCCAGGGAGTTTTTTTAAATAAGTGGGGTTTTGTTTTGTGTGTGTGTGTGTGCGTGTAAAAAGGCTGCACTGTATGAACTGTCTTTATGCCTTCTCTGCCCCGGTATAAAATTAGTCCCTGTAGAAGCAAAGTGCCGTTTAAGGTGTAGATGATGTCAGCTGTTTCCAGGGCAGCACTTAGCAGGTATTGAGTATAGCCAACTCTGCAGGTGAGTTTCCATGTTGCAAGAAAAACCAGTGGCCTCGGGACTTTTAAGAATTTTAACCAACCATCTAAAACACTTTGCATTTTAGTTTCCCTTACGTACTGGGTTTTGAACCATAGGAGGAAATTTCTCTGAAGAGAAATTGTTCCCATTCAAGCTTTTATCAAACAGTTAATCTCAGCCAGGCAACCTTCTGCTTAGATGGAGCCGAACTTAGTTTAAATGTAAATGAAACCCTTTGCAGCCCTTTCCTGCCCTTAGATTTGATATCTTCGGTGTAGGAGCCGCATGTAAGTAACAGTTTGAAAAAAAAAAAAAAAGAACGTAGGTAACAAACCATGGTTGCTTAGAGACACCTGTAACTGTCACAACTAGAATCTCAAATACTTTCATGTCACATTACTCTTGTTTCAGATACCTCAAAATATCTTACACTATCACTTCTCCAAAATCAGTTATTAGACCTACTGCCGGATCTTGTCATTGAATGCATTAATAAAGTAGCATTTATTTTCCATATCTCACATTTATTTACATTTTGATAACTATTTTTCAATATAATTGGTTCCATCCTTTGTGCTTGTTTATGAATAGAGACCTTACCCTGAGAAGCAGTCCTTAGACTTCACCAGCCTGCGGAAGGAGTGAGTTCAGGGCACACGGAAAGGTTCAGAACCGACAAAGGCAGCTGGCCAAGGGGAGGCTCTGAAAACACAGGCTGTGTTAAGTTCCGTTTCTATATCCTTTTCAGAAGACACAAAGCCCTTTGTTGCTCACGTCTGCTGCCCTCTAAAGTTGATCGAGGGCCAACTTAGAGAACAGGATGAGGACGTGGGACGACAGTGGGTGGAGGGCACGGAGGCATGCAGAGAAGAAAGGTCACGGCTGACCCGCCCACCCCACCCTCAACACGCAGGCGCTGACGGGGAGGCCTGGGGGTCTGTGGGGAACCCCTCGGCCAGCACCTGCCAGCTGCTTGGACTTCTAACTTCCAGCCCACCGGGGCCACCCTGCCTGTTGAAAAATTCTCAGACCCCAAACATCTTTTCCTCAAGATGATAAAGATGAACTTTATGGTCTTAATCTGATGACTCTACTGATATTACTCATTATACTGATAAGGAGCCAAAGCCCAGCACGCAATGCTCACCAGAACTCTGCAGTTTCCTTGTTTGATTAATAAGGCTGTTGTCTTCTGGCCAGGCAGCAAGGACACGTGGACACTTGGGGATGGGTGGGTGTGGCCAGGAGCCACCAGAGGGCTTGCGGACGAGAGGGTGGGGCAGTGTGAGTGCTGGCTGCCCTGATCTCTGGGAGGGCAGAACTCCACACTATTGAGCTTCATCTTGGAATTTACTGCACCAGGAATATTTCCCTGAGTAGCCCCAGCGACGTTGTAGATTAAGAAGTGGGGGGTGTAGGAAGATAATTGCAGTGTGGACAGAACCTCAGGTTTCTTATTTGGTAAAGGGGATCTCTGAAGAGGTGCATATCAAGTAAAGAGTGTACCCATCATTTTTTCTAGGGACCCAATGATGTAAACAAGCCAACTCATTTGCTTGCTGAAGGGTGGATAGACACTTGCTGGTTGGCAGAAGATCAAGGAAGAAAAAGTCCCCTTGCTCCCCACCACCCATATGAATACCGCTTGGAACAGCTTCTGAATGGCTGGGGGACAGAGAGTGGTTGGTTTTAACAGCACCAACCACAGCTACCCTTTATGATGCGACTACTACCTTACTGTTGTTTCACTAAATCCCCCACAACAATGTTATAAGGTAGGAACCACTCAACTCATTTTTCACATGAGGAAAATAAGGCTTAGCGAGATTAAGAAATTTGCTTCTGCTACTCATGTCCTACCTTCTAATTTGATTCTGTGTGTGAAAAATGGCTGTTCTTTCCTTTTATTTATTTATTTAGTGTCTTGAGTGTGAAGAGATTTTAATCTCTTTTTAATTAACAAGCACAGTGAGCCTGGCCTGCTCATGGCTGTAATCCTAGCACTCTGGGAGGCCGAGGTGGGCAGATTCCTCAGCATCAGGAGTTCAAAACCAGCCTGAGCAAGAGCGAGACCCTGTCTCTACTAAATATAGAAAGATATTAATTGGCCAACTAAAAATATATAGAAAAAATTAGCCGGGCATGGCAGTGTATGCCTGTAGTCCCAGCTACTTGAGAGGCTGAGGCAGGAGGATCACTTGAGCCCAGGAGTTTGAGGTTGCTGTGAGCTAGACTGACGCCACAGCACTCTAGCCTAGGCAACAGAGTGAGACTCTGTCTCAATAAAAACCAAACAAGCACTTTGAGGGTGAGGCAAAGCATACCTAAACTGTTAAGGTGTGTGGTGTCATTTAGCCACACCTAGGTCCAGCCCAGGCTTGTCTCCAACCCCCTACTCGACCTTGGGTAGCTCCCTTTTCGCAGGGAACCTCAGTTTCCTCATTGGTAGGTTCACTCCCAGCTGAAGATGAGTGGCCTGGGGAGGGAGGAAGAAGGTAGCTGGAAAGCAAGTAGGCAGATGGGCAAAGTCTGGGAATGAGGCTGAGACAGGGAGAACAAGTGAGCAATGAGGCTCTGAGGAGGGGGCTGAATTCTGGCCTGGGAGAGACAAGGGTTCAAGGCAGGCACTGGTGTAGGGACTGATCCTTGGTTCTGCTCAGAGACCTGCTCCCTGTCCTGGCCTGAAACCCTCTCCTGGGTATGGACAGGCAGAAAATAGAAGCGTTCTTCTGGCACTGGTGCCTCTCCTGCAGCAGGAGAAAGGACTTGTGGGCTATAGTCCTGCCCAGCTGGTTCTATGTTTAAATGTTTAAACGTAGTTCTATGTTTAACCACTTTGGTATCCCGCTCACCGGCCGGGAAACCTTGCCCACAGCCGGCACTCACAGTCCGCACGATAGTCTGTGCTGTGCATTGACGACGGATCCGTTGCTCTTGTGTGATGAGGAAAGCTTTAAAGCACTGAAAGCTTGTTTTACTTTACAGGCAGCTTTACTTGTAATGTAAACCAGAATAGGTAACATATACATATATGTTTTCATTAACTTATTTTTAAATGTTCACAATTTTATTTATTTATTTATTTATTTTTTTTGAGACAGAGTCTCGCTTTCTTGCCCAGGCTAGAGTGAGTGCCGTGGCGTCAGCCTAGCTCACAGCAACCTCAAACTCCTGGGCTCAAGCGATCCTCCTGCCCCAGCCTCCCGAGTAGCTGGGACTACAGGCACGAGCCATCATGCCCGGCTGATTTTTATATTATATATATTAGTTGGCCAATTAATTTCTTTCTATTTTTATGGTAGAGACGGGGTCTCGCTCAGGCTAGTTTTGAACTCCTGACCTTGAGCAATCCGCCCGCCTCAGCCTCCCAGAGTGCTAGGATTACAGGCGTGAGCCACCGCGCCCGGCACACAATTTTATTTTGATAAATGAAAAATTAGAAAATATCACGGCTGTCGGCTAAAGTCGACGCTCGTCTGTGCGCGTTCATCTGTGGCTGTCGACTACAGTTGACGCTCGTACCGACATGGTTAAATGAAGGAGGAGAGGAAGTGGGGTGGAAAGCAAGTCCTTCTGGTAGCTTTAATTAATTTATTTCTAATTTGCTATCTTTAGATATTTTTTTCTGCTATTACAAATAAAATATACTTATTGTAAAATAGTCAAACATCACAAAAATCTGAGGTTGCTGGAAGTAATGTTTCCCCAGTGCTACCCCCATTAATTGTTATGCACTCTTTGTATGTGCTTTTTCAGTCCTTTATTTTCCTTTTTTTTTTTGTAACATACAAACATGTTTATCTTGGACAATATAGATGTATTTGGATTAAAACATCAGAGAATTCAGCTTCCACTCCCTTCAACCTCTAGAGCACTAATAGCAGTGGGAAGGCAGCTTCCGGAGGCCAGCACAGTCCAGCCTGCCTGCAGCCCCTGCCTCTCCACGAATGGGGTGGGTCTTCCCACCTCCTCAAAGGTGTGGTGGGGAGGTGAAGGGAGGCCTCAGAACTCCACTAACTCTTCAACCCCTCTGTCCTTGGATAGGTGGGATAGGGGTGAATATTAACCCTTTGCACTTGCTTGCTTTTTTCTTGATTCCTTTATTCTACTCGGGATTTAATTTTTTTAAATACCCCAGATTTTATAAAGCGCGGCAGTAGAATAAAAAACTGGAGTTTTTTTTATACAAACTTATTTATTTTGGATTTTTTAATATTTCAAATTATTGATACATTCAAAGAGTAATTTTAATCTCTATAATTTTTGCTAACCGTGTCGAGTCACACTTGACATCCGAGTGCAAAGGATTAATGCCAGTAGATCTGGTTTCATGCTGTCTTAGCATATCCCCCACATGTGGTCCAGTCCCTCCCTTGGAATGTTGGGGAACTAAGCATGTATTATGTATGAGACCTCAGACTTTGAGGTCTCAGTTGAAATGGAGACAAATAATCCCATCTTAATGTCCAGTCACAGATAACTATACCATCATTTATTTAGCCAGCTTTTATTGATCGCCATTGGGATTGTATTCTCTGTGTGTGTGCATGCCCCAAAGCAAGCCCCCCCCCCACCCCAGGTGCTATTACAAACAATGCCTTGGGCAAGCTTTTAATTTAGCTGCTGATTCCTGTAAAGGATTGTCCTTTTGGCCTCCCTAGATCAGCTAACCAGTCCTGGAACAGGTGCCCCTGCCCTGCTTCTCAAACTGGGAGAAGCCTGCCACTGGACATACCCAATATATACCACAGGGCTATAAGAGCATCACACTTAAATGCTTTGGTTAAAAAGGGGCTATAACATAATTATTAAGTACTCAATAAAAGAGGGATAAATTGGAAGCTATCTGGGTCTTACTCTGTGGCAGTGAGCTGCTGAGGCCTTTCTAACCGGATTTCGTGAGTGAAAAATGCCTGTTCTTTCCTTTCGGTTATTTATTTATTTATTTGCCTAGGAGCCTGAAGAGATTTTAATCTCTTTCTAATCAACAAACACAGTGGTGAGGCAAGGCACACCTAAGCTGTTAAAGTGTGTGGTGTCATTTAGAGCACACCTGGGTCCCAGCCCAGGCCTGTCTCTCACCCCCTTGCTTGACCAGGCCTGGAGGTATGGCACCAGTCATTTCACAGTCATTGTCCTATGCCCCTAGGAATGTTTTGGAAGGACACCTTAAAAGGTACTGCCTGTGGTAGCCAGCCTCCAAGATGGTCCCAGCAATTCTGGCCTCCCACGTTGATCCCAGGATCCACGCCCTTGGGTAGTCCCTTTCCACATTGTACCAGGGTTGGTCTGTGTGACCAATAGAATATGGCAGGAGAGATAGAAAGTCACCTCCAAGATTAGGTCATAAGGTTACTAGGTTACAAAAGACTTGAGCTCTCTTTCTTTGATCATTTGCCTTGGGGGGAACAAGAGAGTAGATACTGGTAGCAAATAAAAAATGTTCACTAGACAAAATGTCTAGATCTGCAAACCCAAGAATCTAGTCCAGAGAAAAATGTTGCGTTTTCTGTTTTAGAAGAAACTGAATATTGTAGTGCTTTTTTATTAGTAGGAAGCACAAGGATTGATTTTTTTCATTCAATTCTGGGTTTTAAGTATCTATCACTAGAATGTGGATGATTCTAGAATCTTCTTTCCAGACCTTTAGAGGGTGCCTTTAGTCTCTTAGGGAAGGTGTGCACAGGAAAGGCATCAGTTAAGAGCCTGCCATGTGGATAGTTCTGCTAAATTATTTTAGTCCCTTTGCTTATGTGAAATATCTTATTATCCCCACCTGATAAATGAGGAAATGCCCAAAGAGATTAAGCAAATTACCCACAGACACTTAGCTAATTAGTGGCACATTCCCGGTATTAATTAGGATTCTCAATAAACTGGAGTTAAGTTAGCTAAGTCAAAGCATGGGAAGTTTGTCATAAGGACCCAAGAGTGTCTCATGGAGCTGGAGGGCTGAGGTGCAGGTGGAAGAAGACCAGGTGGAAGAAGTGCTATCAAGGTTCTCTCCTCTCACCTGTGTTCCTGTTTCTGCTTCATTCTTCTCTCTTCCCAGACGGCCTTTCTCTGCTTCTCTAGCCCTTTGTAGCAGAAAAAGTGGCCACTGATGTCACTGACCTTTTCTTTCTCCCCCAGTTCCAAAGTCCTGGAGAAGTGCACCAATTGGCACAGGGGCTGAGTCATGTTACCCAAATGGCTGCTGCCTCAGCCCTGCTCTCGGTGGGTGTCAGTTAAATAGGATCATTATCAGCTGAGTGGATGGCCCACAAGTGGCACTTGCTTTGCAGACTGGCAACAGGGAGGAAAATTCCGTGAGCCCAGCCAGGGACTTTTAGCAGGGGCGTTGCTGTGAAAGGAGCTGTGAGCCTACAACTTCTGCCACTTGCCTACTGTTTCTCTCCCCATGGGCATTTTGTCCAAGTAGCTCCTGCAGCTGTTTGCTGTACAATTCACAAAGTACATTGAGAACCCTTAATGAAATAGCTTCCTGGGACCACATCTCTGTGAGGTGAAATCTGGGGCATCTCCTCCAGTGTGGCTTTTGGTTCCTGGTTGGGTTTGGATGGATTCCTACAAAGAGGCATGAGGAACAATCTCTGTGGGACAGGTAGGGCAATCTCTAAACAATGGGCCACACTGGAGCCTTGGTGTTCAAGGAGCTGATGGCATTTGTGTTCTTGAACTCCTGATCTTGAGTGATCCTCCCATCTCGGCTTCCCAGAGTGCTAGGATTACAGGTGTGAGACACCGTGCCCGGCTGGCATTTGTGTTCTATGCA